AGGCGACTGCGTCACAGTGCGTAATGACGCATGATCTGTGTAGATCACAAACGGCTTTGAGCCAAACCGGTGCACCCTGAACTTGACAAGTGCATACTTCATCGCAAGTAATATCTTGTCGGGGACTGGTTGGTTTCTCTTTAAAGCCTTGAGCTGGCAAATTCGAACGCGATCGCCCCTCGGTGTCTGGTTGCAGCAGCGCACAGCCGATGGCAAAGTCCAATGCGTGACAGACGACACTTAAAGGACGATCAGGGTCTTGCAACGCCATGCATGAAGGAGGCTGCCTTTGACCTTGTCAAACGCCTCCCGATGCTCGGTGTCCCAACATCATTCCACAACCTTCTTAAGGAGATTCGACAGTGGTCTGCCATTTCTGCGAAAATTCACGCTGAACTTGTGCAAGTAGTTGGCGAGGCCAAGCCACTTGCGCAAGTCCATTTGATTCTTAAAACCCGACCAGTCTACAATGGCCTTGACCTTTGCAGGATCCACTCGGAGGTCACGCTTTCCCCTAAAATGGGGAATTACTTCGGCGCCAAAGATGCACTTGTCTGCATTAACATACATCTTATTCTTGCGCATGTACTCGAGCACCGCTCTTAAATGGACGATGTGGTTCTCTTCATCCGCCCCCCGTGCTCCGCACGACTGTGGACGAAGGTGTCGTCGAAGGTTGTCTGAGCATACGCCTGGGGGAGCCTGAACAACTGCGTCACAAGATGATTACATGTTGCTGGTGCATTGGATAGCCCTTAAAAGATCACCAGCCACTACCAGAGCATGCCGCTCGGAGTAGTCACCGCTGTCAGCGAAACATCACTCGTTCTTACGAGCAATTGGTAATACCCATCGACCAATTCGAGTGCACTGTACTTTTTACAGCTAATCATATTGCTCTAAAGAACATCCTTCCTTGAAATAGGCATCAATGTCGGAATGGTGGCAGCGTTGAGCTTATTGTAAGTGTGAAAGATTCGCCACTTGCCGTTCGGCTTCCGGAAACAAAACGTGGGTGTCGAAAGGGGAGCCTTGCTCTCACACACCATTCCTGCGTCGTGCTCGCACGAAGGAAGGCATCAATCAAGTCACACTGCTCCTTGGGCAGGAACCATAGGCGTGTTTCGCAGTATTTAGCTTTTGGAACTAGGTCGATCTCATGACGTACAACTCGGTCCGAAGGTAGGGCCGATGGCGGGTCTGTAGAGAAAACGTCTTGAAATTCCTTTACCAAAGGTTAGTACGGATCCGAGAGATTTTTCGGGATCGAATATCCACTTCGTGCGTTCAGCACCCTTATGGTATCCTCTTGAACAGCTTAATCTAGAGGCGACCACAAGTTGATCTCCTCTTCCGGTCGTATAATAAATTCGGCTAAGTAGCCTGTATTCAAGGCACCGCTGAAATCTTCGAAGAACGTCTCGTCCAGCTCAAGAAGAGCATCCACCGCTGGAATAGCCTCGAAGGTGACGTCGCTACCTTCTTCCCCCGTCATACCGTTGAAGAGAGTGTATGGCTGTGCGCTATTGTGTACAGTATACACATCCTGGGTCAGGGTCGATATCGCCTCTCTACAGAGGTTTCACGTCTCAGCGAGACCAGAGAGAGCACGCACTCAGCGTCGCACAGTGTTAGCCGCGTTTCCTGCTCCACAGGAGTCCTGATGTTATTAACAACATCCAATGAAGAGCTGCTACCTCCCCAGTCTTCGTCCAGTGAATAATGTGCCACTCCACGCGCATCTAAAGGGCCTTGCCCAAAATGACTCGGACCTCGTCCGACCATGCCACTCGTGGCATGCAGCGACTGCTTTGAAACAGTGCTCAGTGGATTACGTGCCACTCTACGTGCATCACTGAGGCCTCGCCCTCGTTGCCTTGGACCTTGTCTGACCATGCCACTCTTGGCATGCAGTGGCTGCTTCGATACTTTAGCAGCACTCAGAGGGTTACGTACGACTCCACGTTTAGTCCGCGAGTCATGCTCGGGACTCCTGTTCGATACACCTTCGGTGCTCGACAACTCAGATACTTCAATCTTCAGCACGTTGACCGTCCCGGTCCAGTGCCCGCGCCAAAAGCGTTTTTACCCCTAGTAGAGGTGGGTTCATGACTCACCAAAGCTCCACCAGGAGACGTGCGCGTAGCGCCCAAGGTCTTGGACCTCCGATCGATCCTTGGCTTATGATTCTCCAACCATGTCATACCAAGGATGAGGTCATATCTTGAGTTTACGACTAAGCAGCATTCCAGGCTATGAAAGTTAAGACACTTGACACCGAGGTCTACAAGGACCTCGGCATCGTGACATACGTCCCCGGCGCTATGCGAACAAGGACGATGTCACTTCATCGCGCCATCAGCGCCCCAGCATACAGCAGACATCCTTCTATCGTGGAGCACCGAGCTTAATTGCCCGACGCCCCAGAGTTGAATAGGACCTTCCATAGCTTCTCAAAGCCCTTCACGGTCGCTTTCACGACCAGCAAGCCCGGCACTCCGTGTTCAAGAGCATGGAGCTTTTCGTAGCTAGGTCCTGCTGAACTCTACCTTTTTAGGCTCAACAGAGCTCAGTTCTTCCTAAGTAGGGCGCCTCGCGCGTACTTGGTGTAGTCGTTACCCCGCGACAAACCAAAAGACTAGAGAGAAGCGGGACGTCAGCTCGATGAACCTCGACGCGCCTTGCGCAGGGGACAACCAGCCCGATGGCGACAAATGTCTCCACAGACAAAACAATGTCGGGTGGTCGAATGCTGTTTGGCAGCTCGGGGCTCTGCCTCTTCTTTCTCAGCATAGCAAAAAATTTATCGGCAGCTGCTAGAGTGTGCATTTCAACCATGTCGTGCCGACTAAACGATTAATTTGGCATTCAATATCAAATTCACTGCTTTTCAAATGAAGGCGGATCACACGGAAGACTTCCATTCTGACCACGCCATTACGGAGGCCCTCCATAAAGACGGTCACTGTGACCGCTTCGGGGAGAGGTCGACTGCTGTAGAGTACGCAACTCTTGGACAAAGTCCGCTAATTCCTTCTTACCCTGTCGGGCGGGAAGAAAACGCGATCGCGCGCGATGTGCTTGGTTAGGCGGCTAGAACACTCGTAAAAGCTGCAAATTTAGATCCGGCTTGGAGGGAAACGTCGCTTCAATCAAATTGTCGCATGTCAGTGCCCGTTCTTGTGCTCGATCTCCGAGCTTAGAGATAGCTAGCACCACGTGCTGTTATTTGGTCTGAAGCATGGTGGATGCCATAGCCACCTCGGCCTCTCTCACCCAGAGCAGCTAGATAAATATTGTACCATTGTACGCAATTCAAATTTTTCTTTCCCGTCATTGTAAAGATTCAAAGTCCTGTTGAACACCGTTGGGGAGGGGTCAGTGGTACACGTGGGCTGTACAGAATGCTTCATAATACTATACAGTAGAAGCTTAAATTTTTGTATTGGTTGACATAGGATGAATCATAATATATGTCACTTTTAAAAAAGCATAGTGATCTGATTCCATTCTTACGCTCAAAAGCGTTGGCTTTGCATTTGGGTGGAGCACGCTGATTTAACCTCAATGTGTTATATATGTGGACTCTTCAAGCTAGATATTCCTTGGTGCACGACGCAAGGTTATTTCATTGGACTTTGAGTCGATTCTTCCTCTGTGCAAGGTTCACGGTAACCTTGTTGCAGTAAGACGTATCCAGAAGAAGCCAACTGGGAAATCATGGGTTTTACTATAATACTTAATGACAACAATATAACGTGTATGTAAACCGATACGCGTCATTACGTATTCAACCATAACCACGCAGAGCAAAAAAAGTCGGACTCGGACATCCATATCGAACATTTGCAAGCAGTGCTCCAAGTATATCAACACATTTAGATTTGATAGGACTAAATTTTTGAAATGAAATTGCTTTTAGAACAACTTGCTGTTAGCAGATACGAAAGGGTGCAAGTCAACATTCGACGGAACTTTTGCCCGTTACAGTTCAATGGGCGCTTGCACCTCCAGGGATGCCAATCGGACACCTCGACAACTTAACAAATGGAAGGTGGATGAGCCAAATTTAAAAAAGCTTGAGGAGTTTGCATCAAATTCGGAAGGAGTAGTTGACAGCAATAAGGCTGCAGCTACAACAAGCGGAGACGAGGAGAGCGACTTTGCGCTTAATTGCGTCGCATACAGCTCTTTTCTGGAAAGCGACTGCCTTACTGGATGGGAGGATGGATCCATTCATCGAGTCAATTGGCACACGACTAGCACTGCTGTCAACGTCTGGAAGCCGCACACTCGAGCTGTGAATCGCATAGTCATTGGAGATAAGCTACAGATGATCTACGCGTGCTCTCGAGACACGACGGTGTCAATGACACCGATAGCCGATAAACCAGCATCTGAGACAGCAACTGTGTTGCGCGGCCACCAGTTGAATGTGTCAACGATCGCGATAGATGGTGCTGAGCAAATGTTGTGCTCGGGGGGTCGTGATACCCAAACGATTTTTTGGGATTTGTCAACAAGTCATATTGCAAGTAAGAACACGACATCACAAAACGTAGTAACTTGCTCGGTCTGGATGCCAGGTGAAAATTTAGTTGCACAGGGCAGCGAAGACCTGAGTGTCAAATTTTGGGATCCAAGAACACCTCTCCGCGTGCCTGTTCAGTTGCTACTCGGATTTGTGTACTTTCCATTGAGTATTGCTGTGTCCAGCGAGATTGATAGTACCTACCTTTTAACTTCGAGTAAGGGGTTCAATGGCGTTGGCTGTGAGGCTCGAGTTTGGGATAGACGTACTGGCAAGCAGGTTGTTGAGCTCCAAGGCCACCAACAAGATACAACTGCGTGCTGTTTTTTGTCTGATACTGCCTTTAGTAGTGAAATTGACGTGGAAGCTCGAACGATGCCGACGATACCGGTGACTGCCTCTAAGGACGGAACAGTAAAGGTGTGGGATACTAAAACGATGTCCCCGCTTGCCGAGGCAAATGCAGTTGGCGCCAAGCCCATGTTCACGAGTATATGTAGAGTAGACAATCACACTCTTTTAACGAGCACATTTGGAGGTCAGATTCTTGCGTACTGGTTTGATAATAAAAAGCGCACACTTGCGTTAATGCGTTGAACAAGAGGCCATAAGCGATCGTAAGTCCGCACAAAAAAGCTGGATTCTCGAATACTAGAGCAGGTTTGCACCACTCCTTTCTCAGCTAAAAATGATCTACACATATTGTGCACAACACACGCTTGTAAATGTGGAAAGCTCATCTCACTATTCCGTCATACACCTGAAAGCCACACTTTGGACTCAACATGATATTAACGCCAATTTCAAACTCATCTCATCTTTGGGCTTCACTGCAACGATACTTGAACAAGCTATCGAAACCAACACCACCATCTATGGTATTTTCCACGCTTGAGATGTTCATTTCGGCTCACTCAATTTGTGAAGCAGATTTGTTGCGGTGAAACATGAATCACATAGGAATTTTACATGATTGTCCTCGGGCTTTAATTTTGTTCGATAGTCGGCACGCTCAAGAATGTGGACAGTCCCGATAAAGATTTTATCAGTCGAGATTGCAAACTTGACTGATTTTAACGCGTAAGAAAGCTTAAATATCGAGCGTAGACATTCGTTCTCTTGCAAGTTGCTTACAAAATACAAAAGTCTCAGCTGAAAAGGTTTTTTGATTACCTAAACAGTATCTAAGGTAAGTCCCGTTTGAATGACAGTATGATGCGTTTCTGTCCATTGAGAAAGAGTCTGCAGCTGGTCAAACGAGCAAGTTTCACGAAAATTAAGCTCCAGCAACGGTAGTATCATGTTCAGTCGAAGGGCTTCATTTCGCAGCGCAAAGAATATCTTAAAAAGCTTTGACAGCTCTAAAACCTCTTGATTGAATATCTGCTCAGCATGGCACTGAAGCTGGAGCTTCTGGTCGGCTGTTAATTGTAGCAACGCATCTAACTCTTTTGCTAAAGGGTTCTTTGGAAAATTACGCAGCGTTTGCAGTTGCAGCACTCGAGTGCGCATTGCAACCAGTTGGCGCCCAAGAAACACAAAGCTTTTCCACACAGCTCGCTGCCTTGCATCGTACTGCATCGCAAGAGTACGGCGCTGTCGATTAAGTCGCATAAGTGACTGAAAAGTTGCGGGATTTTCAATCGCTTCGAAGGCCTCTGTTTGACCAGTCACGATTTCAATGCGATTTTTCCAATCAAACATTTGTGGCGAGTCCGGGCTTGGAAGGGTACCAAAAGCTGGACCACTGACACCCCACTGGTACGTTCGAACATAATCACGATTAAGTTGCAAGCGCTTAATGCCGTTCTCGAGTGTTTCGACATACGTTTGCTGTTTTTTGCGGCTTTCACGCGCAGAGTCTCGATTGCGCTCCAGTTTCTTTTCTTTTTTCTCAGCTTCCTCCTTCATCAGCGATTTTAAGATACTGCTTACTTCAGGATTTTCTGGTTTCCTTGCTATGCTTACAAAATTAGGCCCTCCTCCACCCACTCCTTGCGGCTGCAACGATCCAGTTTGTCTGAACACCGTACCAACGTCGGAGGGCATTCCCATTGGAAATATTGTGGTCATCTCAACGTCATTTGCCTGCCCACTTTGAGGATTAACTTGCTGTGGTATCTCCACTTTTTGAGGCACTTGCATGTTTAAGCCCATGGGAAATCCTGCGAAACCCATGGGCATGTTCAACCCATTGAGACCATTCATTTGGGCCATCTGCGCCATTTGCATTTGAAACTGCAGCTGCATTTGCATCTGCATCGCGAATTGCATTCCACTCATTCCGGTTGGATTATTCATTGCAGCTACACTATTCATTGCATTCATCGCATTAACATTCATTCCCATGGGCATTTGTATGGGTATACCCATCATGTTCATTCCTTGGGCCCCCATCATTGAATACATCAAAAATGGATTTATTACCATTCCTTGAGACCCGAATGTGTTGGCTTGTTGCGACAAATTATTTCTTTCTGGTTCAAAAGTGCTTCTTGATGCGGTTTTGGCATCAGTGTTGGAGATGTTCTCTCCATTCGTTGTACTAGTAGCGCTACCTTGTGACACTGACGCGGTTGCTTCTCTGTTCACACTTGAATTCGGCACTTGATGTAAAACGGAGGATGTTCTGGAATCGTGCGAAGAAGGGACAGAGTCAGAGGAGACAAATTGACGTTGATGGGCGGGCGGGTTGCTGGATTTGCCAGAAGCCGCGGCACTAGTGGTTGCAGAAATCTGGTTACCACCACCAAAGTTGTCCATAAAATTAGAGCCGTACTGTCCTGAAATTACTTGCTGAATTTGTTGTTGCTGTTGTTGTTGTTGTTGCTGTTGCTGCAATTGTTGCTGAAATTGCTGCTGCATTTGCAATAGCTGCTGCTGAGTTTGATGCATATGATTTAAGGGCTGCTGGTGCAAATTAGGCGGATGATGCTGGAAGTTCATGACATTTTGTTCAGAAGCAAACATTAGATTTTGCATGGCGATATGCGCACGCTGATCTTCATCCAAATGCTTGGAAAACGTCGCATCATTAGAATCATCCAACAGATGGACAATCTCCTCGCTTAAAGTTCGCTGAATATTCCGACGAGGCTTCTGTAATTCTGCCGTGGTGGCTAAATCTGGGCATCCATGTGTGTGTGAGTGATGCATGTTCGTCATATTGGGCGATGTATGCTGCTGTTCATGACCAGAGGTGAGATTAGACCCATTCACATGTTGATGTGGCGAGTCCATAGAGCTAGTGGTACTGGCTGCACTAACTTCATCTGTTAGAACGTCAAACTTCATGCCAAAGTGAGAATCATTTTCATTCCAGTCTTCCCACAAATTGCGGCTCATATTGGACGATAGACCCCTAAATGAAAGCAACAAAGAACATATAAACCTCACAAGTCAGCAAACAGCACTGCCTATTTCTAGCCTTAAGGACGCACGTGAGCACTGGATCTAGCTGTAAGGGAATGTCTGCAATACCGAGATCCATGGACGGCTCATTGCCTTCGCCAGTCTGATTATAAAATAAGTTAACGACAGAGACTACAAGTGCTGCAACTGAACGTACGCCGACGGCCTGATAAGGCTGATAATGAAGCGCAGACTTCTTTGTCTTTGGAGCTTTAGACATCCTTTTATTTTTAGGCCGCGATTGAGCGGCCTGTCGCTTGATCGCTGCAATTTAGCGACTCCCTTCGGCGCTTACTTTGACGGCTGGTCTGCTGCTTACAGTATGATGTAAAGTTTCCATCGATTGGCTGAAAGTATTACTTTATAATGAAAAACAGATGACAACCATGATGATGTAAGCATTCGGTGGGAGAATGATCAACTGTGTTAGTTCCTGCCCTTGTGAACCGAGATATGTTATATTAAAGAGAGAGCAGCTTATAGATCAAGATGTAGAAAACGTTGCTTCGGCTCTCGGTATCTCAAGTTTTGACAACTACATCATCTACCACTAGCAACGGCGAACTTGTCTTTTCAAGTGCAATCATGAGTCACAGTTCAACTAATATTTGGAGCTAATTTCGCCGCTAGTGCAGCTCCATCATGAAGGTTAATAATGACGTAGGTTCCAGTGTTAATGCTTTGAAAACACTTGTCGTATTTAATTGCGATCTTAACTCGTTTATGACTAAAGTTTTTGTTTTCCGTGCTAAGATTGTACGAAAGCGACGTTTCCGAAACATGGTCTTACAGCTACCTGATCAAGTAGTGACCACACACTATATCTCACTTACAAATTATTCAAAGCTCACAACTCTGACGACACTGACAATACGTCGATTCCAGCACTTTGGCACTGCAACGATAAGCACGATGCCTTTATGGGACAGCTAAAGGTCTTAAAGTAGACTGGGAATCTGTAGCGATTTATGCGGCAATCAAGCTCCTGCTTGGCACGTAAAAGATTAGCTTCAGCAGCTTTTTTGTCCTCAGCAGTTTTTTTGGCCTCGATCGCCTTTTTGGCTTCGGTTGCAATCTTAGCCTCGGCTGCTTCTCTGGCTTCGGCAGCTTCTTTTTTTGCTTTAGCTAATTCTGCTTGCTCTCGTGCCCTTTCCGCAGCTTTGGCACCAACAATATTGTTCACTTCTTGCTCCACTTGAGTAGTAGTCTTTTGCTTTGTATCCTGACCGAAAGTGCCAATGCGGCGAAACCAGCTCAGAACGGGATTTTCGGACTCCTCCTCGCTTGACTCGGCAACGGCTTTAACATTCTCGTTTTGTAAAACGATTTCTGCTGTGACAGTTTTCTTTATACTGATGCTCTCTCCATCGGCTATCGCCGGCGCGTTTTTTGAAGCAGACACTGTGTTTCTTGACAACTCGAGCGCAGGACTCGAGCAGGTCTTAAGCGTAATTTCCGCCCCCACTGTAATAGCCTCGACTTGTTTGGCAGGCTTACTGAGTCCAGCAGACTTCGTCTTTTCAAGGTTCATCTCTGCATACTCGGCCATACATTTCGTCATGTTCTGCACTGGCACCTGAAGGTTCTCAGTGGACTGGATCGTCTCGCCGTCTTTGAAAAACATAGGCTTTTTCGGTTTTTCGACTTTTTTCTCTATTGTTGACACGGCAGCAGCCGTCATAGCTCGATTGTTGGGCATTCTGCGCTGCTCAAGCGATTGCTGTTGCTTGATAAGTGATTCGTCAGACTCTGCTGGTAGCATGACCTCAGCAACAATCTTTGGCTCCTCCTCTGGCTCAGCAACCATAATCTCTGGCTTCAGCTCAAGTTTGAACGGACCCTTTTCACTTGTTATGGTCACTGCAACACCAACTTCAACTTGGTTGTCCCGTTCAAGACTAGGAGGTGAATCGATATTGGCATTTAAGCTCTCGTGGAATCGGTCGTCTTGGTCACAATCAAGAAAATTATCGAGATGGTGACCAGGCATTGGCGTATCAAGTAAGAGTTCTTCGGCCACGGAGCTTCCCTCACTGGCTGTGCGCTCTTCATCGTCGTCCTTAAAACCTAAATGCTGGGGAATCTGAAGCAGCTCACTTAGGAGCGCCTCCATGCGCTTGGGATGCCCTCGCATGTCGAAGTACGCGAGTGTGCTTAGCAGGAAATCATCCAACTGTTCCTGACGTTCTTCAGGTGGTGGAGAGAAGAAAAGTCCGCCCTTGGGAGGAAACTCCACTGCAAAGTGCTTTTCGAGCGCTGTTAGCCGTGTGTAAAAGTCATAGAAAGTGCTGTAGCGAATGGCTAGTGACCACGTGCGGCCATCTACTTCCACTTCGGTTGTATAGGCGTGGTGAGTGGAGAAGTCGAACCCAGTGACACGTGCATCGATCTCTCTCATCGTGGCAGTGAGGCTTTGATCCAACTGCAATGCGTTTATGATCGCTCAAACGATAGTACGGTCCACCTACTCGGCTCAAGTCGGAAGATCAATGAGTGAGTTGTTTTTCAAGAAGGTCCTTTCTGATCTACTGAACCGGTGCTCTTTTGCGATCTTTGAGAGGGAAGAAGCATGCAGAAAAGTGCAGGAACGACATATCTCATCACATATATTGGATACACATATATCGATATTTTCGCCTTTCGTCACAGATTATCATCAAATCGGCCTTTTCTTAGGTTGGTCCCATCCTTCGAATGATCCTTTCACAATTTTTCATTGCGATTTGAGCACATCCGCCAGAAGAGCCAGCAACAACATTTGAAAGGTTATGTAAAGTAACATGTTCTAGTGATAATTTCATCTACGATTTCTTCTCTGGTCTATAAGGCAAGTCGCATACAACTTCAACTTTCATAAATGCGTCATGAGCCAAATATGTCCGTATGCCTACTGACCTCTAACCGGAAACATGGGGATTCTGAAGCTGATGGAACATTAGTTCTGATTTATATTACCTTATACTAACCGGTAGAATTAATTGCATGAAAATATAGAATCTCAGAACCTGAGCAAAAGTTGATTACTCTAGTGAAAAGGATTGGAAGGCCTCAAAAATTGGCATCCATAATAAGTTTTCAACGAATCAAGCTAGTTTGCGTCTTAATTGTCTGCTACTCTCGAACTGACGAAGACGATAGAAAGCAGCAACTGCATTGTCATACATCAACAAACCTACGATAGCGTATATTTTAGACTATGATGTCTCCGCAAGCAGCAAAAAGGTCGTCGCCAAGACCGCATACCCACGTGCACATTGCACGGAAGCTCTGAAGTACCAATGATGCGGTTATTTAGTGACTCGCATCTCTGAACGCTGAGACGATACATAATCAAGTAATTTTTTTACCATCTCGAGATACTTTGTTATGGAGGTTCGTGAAATAGTTAACTATAGAGCATGGTAAAAGGCGTATTTTTAGTATCAGACTTGATTATATATATTAGACATAAAAACGGCTTATAAATGCTCTCCTGGATGGATCAAAGAACTAATCCTCTATGTGACTATTAAAGCGGGCTGATTGAGGCCAACACTTTCGCTGTTCAAATTGCACGGCAACCGCATCATTGATGATGGTGCTTGTTATTATCCGACGACCAAGTTTTGTTCTACTGTATTCATTGTGAGGATAGAACATAATTTGCTCGATTATCTGTCTCCGAAACAACGACGTACGCTTGATGAGCTCATGCAGGTGTTAAAGAGGTCAGCGGACCAGAGATTTAATGGTCAGAAGCGGCAATGGTTTGCCCAGATGTGGCCATCATCTATGAGAATCCATCTATGAGAATACGCTGGTGATGTACCTTCAAAAACATCCTAATTAAGCGTCGGTGGAAGTACAACCAGCTCTCACCCTAGTTCCGCTTATGATAGCGTCCAGCATATTGAAAGCAAGATCGGGGAATTCTTTCTGGCTGGGTTATATGGGCATGATCGTCACGCTCTCGACACTACAGCCTGCTTTGCTATCGGTCTCTAAGCTACAAGGTGGCACGGGAAGATGTGGATGATATGAATTTCTACTTAAGACATGTATGCGCCGCTTGACCGGTAAAACGTGAGCTCATTGTACACCTTTCGGGAGGCGGACATTAGCGGCCTATATCCAACAATTCCGATCTCGATTTGCCGAGATGTTGGCCGGCCCTCTTCTAGGGGGAAACCAGGTCCACACGGCCTCATTCGAGAATACGATGGATGTCGCATTGGATAACGAGTACAGCTCCCGTGTTGCGGGGACCGGATGAATAGTGGGAGTTGGAAGTGTGCTAGAGGCGTTGCTCTTTCGCTAAGAGGAAGCTCAATTCAGTCGGTGACCCTCGTTCTATATTGAGAACCAGTGCGAGTGAAGCGAATCGCGATCCACTTACTCCAAGAGTAATCACAACATTAATACAAGACTAATTAACCTTTCCGTTTATAACGTAAACTCGATTTTGTTTGTGGCATAACCGCCCATATCCAAATCTATAGGTTTTCCTATTTATGTAATAAAACCTAAATAAATGTATAAGTATTGACACTCCAGCCACGTATTGACGTCTTGTTGAGGTGTAGCCAAATCATTGTGTGATCATACCATCATGTGTGACTCACAATCTTTATACCAGGGCATGTGAAACCCCGTTACACTCTCCCCCATCAAGATTGTGAACACCTTCAGTTCACATTCAACTGTCGCCTCAAACAAGGCTCGCATGTCTAAGACAATAACCCCAGCACACGTCGCGCCGCTAGGGCACCTCGTCCTTTTCTTCTTCCCATCCTGGAAGAGGAGTATCTGACTCGTAGTCGACTGCCTCCAAATCCACGATGAGGTTATCCATCGCCCATGGCGGGCTCGTTATGTCACGTATGTTTTCTTGGTTGTATGACCTTGTCGCTGGCAATGCGCTGCGCGGTACTCGGTTGCCGAGAGCTGGGGCTGCGCTTCCCTTGAAGCCGCGGACCAAAGTTGCAGGAGACGAAGTAAGGCTCTGACCGCGGGCGCTCTTGGACCAGCGAGGCTGGTTGTCTTCAGTGCTTATTAAGAAGAGAATTCGTGACGAAGATGCCCTGCTTGAAACTCGAGGGCGCCGTGTCTGATTCCCGACCTCTTGTCTTCCAGATAAAGTAGTTTCATTACCAATGACGATGACGAGGCACAGAAGCAGCAGCTGGGTGCTGTCCGCAAGGCGGCTCCTGTGCGCGCGCATTTACTGTCGGTCGTTGACCCTCGAGTGGAATACGGCTTCCGCTCGGCAGATCCCGCTAAATAAGCGAAGTACGTGATCACTCGATCATTTGGTGTCTATTTGATCAAGCCCCCGGCCCGGCCACTACACAAGCTGAGCTTGACGAACGAAAGCTCTCTGAGCTCGCTTCATGGGTTCCTCAAGAAACCCCAGTGGATACGTACCGCACTCGACTTCGTGCTCAATCAAGAGGCGCTCCTGTCCCCGCGATGCTGACGATTCATGTGGTGCTATCTCCTGGCAAAACCGCTGCAGATGCAACGTTCGGGTTGACCCATCACGCTCCCGCGAGTTCCGTAATCTCTCACACGGGTGAGTCTGCGACCACAGCAGCTCAGGGCCATAGTTTGAGCTCGTCTCATAGCCCTTCGACTTCCCTAGCTATTGCCAAGAAGCGCGAGGCGTCGGTGTAAAGCGTCATGATCTCTATGATGATAAGCGTCCGCGACGTCTGGGCAGTCTTGCCGAAGTGGCTCCTCAAACTCCCACGAGTACTCGGAGTGTGGGTATCTACGCCAATTCACAAGACATTGGGTTAAACACAGTCGACGATGTCAACCCACAATGCGTTCCACGTGGTAGTGGACGCTACCATTCTCATCGAGAAGAGTCGGCGGCGGACGATGACGACTTGGTCGATCGCCGCTCAGTGATTCGCGATGCTCTTCGAGCGTTAGAGGAAAAAGTCCGCCGTCATCAGCACTCCGCTGAGCATCTTTCCGCGAACGCATCCAGCTGTGCTGAAGCCCTCGAGAGCTTGGAGCTCGTTGTGCACCAGCTGCCTGACGTTGAAGGCTATCGCGCTCTGTTGTAGCGGCACCAATCCGTCAGCAGACGAATCCGTCGCTTCATGCAAAGACGGAGCGATTGGCGCCGTTGGAAACGGAATTTGTTGCACTACGTACTCAGAACCAGTTGGTGGTTCAGCTTCTGGATGGCCGAGCGCCTTTGGGCGCCGCTCCGGCGTCTACGTTCACTTGTGCCGGATTCCTGTATGGGATAAGCAAGCCAACATGAAACACCGGGTGGGAGCGCATCCGTTTTTGGAGGTCTAACGTATATCATGGCCCGGCATGGCCACAACCTTAAACGGTCCAATAAACCGTGGATGGAGCTTCGTCTCAGATGTTATTTATATTAAGAATAAAAGAATCAATCGGTCCCCTCCATTGCATCCGGTAACCATACTAGAAAATAAAATTGGTAAAAACAAGCAACATCGATCAAATATAAAATATATTTAAGGAAAATACCCTTTAATAATTGAGATAGAAGCAAAAGCACAATAAGACAGCAGAAATTGCAAGGAAAAGAAGGTTTGTAGCATTTAATTTTCTAAGGTCTCCGACCTTAGAGTTTTCAACATTTCCTATACCTCTTCTGTTTGCATATTCCTTCTGCATTTCTTGGCTTTCAGCCATCGCGAACGTATCGTAAGACACTCAGTCTGGTTGGCAGAAAGTCAGCGAGTTCTCTACAAACTGTGAGAAGGATGACATCATGTAGCCGCCCAGCTATTCCTCCCTCACCAAGCCCTAAATCATGGGGTGGTGGCCTCATTGAGACGCGAGGATGAACGAGTCCGTTCATGAAGAACAGCGTGTAGTTAATCAGAGCGAACTCTACACATGGCAGCATGGCGCTCCAGCGACTCGGCGTCTCAGAACAGACACTGCGAAGGACGTCCTCGACGACGCAATTCACGCGCTCAGTTTGACCATTGATTTGCGGATGGTTCGCAGTTGACATATCCAGCTTGATTTCCAGCACCTTAAAGATCTTCGACCGAAACTTCCCAGTGAAGCGTGTGTCTCAGTCAGAGCTAATTGACTCTAGGAGTCAATGGTGTCCGGCACCGCCGCAAGATGGGCTATCTTGCTCAAGCGGTCGACGAAGATCACGACACCCGTGATGCTCTTTCGGCAGGCCAAACACAAATTCATGGACTGTCAACACCCGGTGGGTAACGGCAAACTGGCTAGCGGTGATGGCACCACATTCAGAGAGGGGTTTACCCTTTGACACGTCTCACACGTGCACACATAGATTCTTGTCCATTTGTACAGCTTGAGCCACCAGTAGTATTGGCAACTCCCACAGCTGTAGATCTTTGTACGATCAAAATGGCCTCTGAGTAGGGTGTCGTGGGCCTCATCGAGAATACAGCACTTCAAATTCACATTGTGGGGAACCACAATTCGTAGCGTACCAGTCGAGTGGGTACTTAAATACAGCAATCCATTGTTCAGTGAATATCGGTGCAATTGCACGCGCAGTCGCGACGACAACTTTTTTCCGAGTTTTTAAACTCCTTGCTCCTGAGAGCCTGTAGCAGTGCTACGCACATATCATCACCCGCGTACACGGCGCGGATATAATCCGTCACGGACGGCGTCACCGTCGTGACATGAGCAAGCACATAATCAGGTCTGCCTGACAACGCATCAGCCAAAGCATTCTGCTTTCCTGGGTTATACTTCACCTCGAAGTTATATTATGTCAAGAACGAAAGCCACCTAGCCATCCTCTGGAGACGACGTCTTGAAAGTCCTTCACCAAATGGTAGAGCGGATCCGAGTGATTTTTCGGGATCGACGAACCAATTCTTGCGCTCGGCACCCTATTGGTGTCCTTCAGGATAGTTTCATTCAGAAGCGACGACGTGTTGATCTCCTCTTCCGGTCGTATAATGACCACTTCGGCTAAGTTGCCCACCGCCGAACTCTTCGAGGACATCTTTTCTAGCTCAAGAAGAGCATCCACCGCGGTATCGCCTCGAAGATGACGCCGCCGTCTTCTTCCCCCGACATACCGTTGACGAGGGTGTATAGCTGTGCGCTATCGTCTACGGTAGACATTCTGGGTCAGGGTCGACGCCCGGCGTCCTGCAGCTAGCATACGGTGTCGCCGTCGCATCACCACAGAAGATTTACGTCTCGGCAAGACCAGTGGGAACACGCACTCAGCGTCGTCTAGTGTTAGCACCACTTCCTGCTCCACAGGAGTCCTGATGTTTTTAACAACGTCCGACGAAGAGCTGCTAATTTCGCTATCCAGTGGATAACGTGAAAATCCACGCGCATTCGCAGGGCCTTGCCCCAAGAGACTTTGGACCTCGTCCTACCATGCTCAACGTGGCATGGACCGACTTCTTCGGCACGTGAGCAGTGCTCATTGGATTACGTGCCACTCAACGTGCATACCTGGGGCCTCGCCTCCGATGCCTCGGCTCTGGGCCGACCATGCCACGCATCTTATTCGGCGACGGCTCCGCAATCAGTGGGTTACTACCACTCCACGCTCAACTCGCGAGCCATACTCGGAACTCCTACCCGATACACCTTCGGCGTTTGACAACTCGGATACTCGAGTCTCCCGCATGTTGGCCGTCTCGGTCCAGAGCCCGCACCAATAGTGTTTCTGCCTCTTAGGAGAGGTGGATTCATGACACACCAAAGCTCCACCAGGAGTCGTGCGCGTAATACCTCCAGTCAATCCATGGCTCACGGTTCTCCAGACATGCCATACCAAGGATGAGGTCATACCTTGAATCCAAGTTTAAGACAAAGCAGCGTTTCACGCTATCAAAGTTAAGAGACTTGACACTGAGGTCCACAGAGACCCTCGGCACCGTGACACATGTCCCCTTAGCTTAGCAAACAGTGACGATATCACTCACCGCGCCTTCAGCACCTCAGCATACAGCTGCATCGTGGAGCGCCGAGCATAATTGTCCCACGCCTCGAAATCGATCATTATCTTCCATGGCTTCTCAAAGACGATGCGGTACGATCAAATATAATTCGCGTGCTACTTGGTGTCATGTGAATATTCATAAGTACCGAAATATCATTATTAACGAGGATGATGAAATTTCGAAGGGGAAAGCCCGTAGAACATGTGGGCTGCTAGCCACATATTAAACATTATGAAAGCCAGAGAACGTATATATTTAGTATTGCTCTTAAGCGTTTATCCCTGATAGATGTACTTTCAGAACAAATAAACAATTTGGTGCTGTCTATTCCACCTTTAAGATGATAAGCTCAACTGCTTTGCATATGTTAGCGCAAACTCTGTGAGCCAAAGATTCCGCCGCAAAGTGCACGGAATTCTGCCCTTTCCAGGGACAACCGGCACAAGTATTTTCTGCAGAGAAGAGCTGTACACCCTCGTCAACGGTATGACAAGCGCGGTGAAGTGCAGATAGCGGAGTGGTTCTTTAAGCGCAATTTTCTCAGTGTCTCGAAAATACAAGATGAGTGTGATTTTGTAACGGACACACTACCCATTACATGAAAGTACCTTCTGTTATAGCATGGTATTACCAAATGCAGACGTGACATCTCATATGAAGGCACAAACATTTTGTGTGATACAGAATCTTGGTTCCTACTTGTGGATCTGTACTGTTGACGAGACCGACTGAGAAATGTCGGTCTCGTCACCAATACATATCCTCAAGTTTTGAAGTGGGTGGTGTAAGACAGTCCCTTCTATACTTACCACGAAATTTAATGTTTAAGCCTTTCAAAATTCAAGCATTGTACACCCAAGATATTGTATCAGTTGAATTGGTGTTCAGGATCAGTACACACTTGCTTTTGAAAACAGGAGCCCAAGGTTTTATTTGTCAGATCTCTAAAAGCCGTTGAAGTATTTTGCATGTTACTACGAACTTTTATCTCTTTTTAATTTAGTTGCAGATTTGTCTGAAAGGCTTAAAATTGCTCTTCTACCGTTCAAGTCGGGACTTTCCTTTTCCCTCCACATCGGAAGTCACATTATCGTCGCACAAGTATGTGGGTTGTGTTTGAGGAAGTGTTATGAACAGCTTACTCACACCTCGTAGCACTTCGAGCGGTCTAATCAACGACACTTGATTTTGGTTTGACAACGCGGTTGTTGAGCACGTCGAGTATTCCAGTCCACGCCATACTCTTGTCCTTGTCCGAGCAACATGGAAGGAGTTGGGTCACCACTCGGTTTATAATTACATGAGAATATATGATTTCGGTAGCAGGTCGCAACCCCCTGTTTTTTCGTACAGAACGATGCTTCTGAAGCTGAACATGTCTTTGTTCCATGGTGGAAAGAACGAGCCTCTGTCACGATGGTTTGTCGAGCTGAATGCGGCAACCACTGCAAGACAACTGCGAACCCCTTATAGCTTTTGCTCACGATGTCAAATCTTGCAAGTGCGCGAAGAGTTCGGCGTATGGTAAGCGTTTAGCCGATTCAGACTGCTTTTCCAGCTACGAACACTTCAAAGTCGAGCTAACGAAGGCTTTCAAACCACCACATAGTATGTTCCGATCCCGCGCCGAGTTCGGAAGCTTCGTTACGACCTAGACCCGTATGCTCAGCATGCTAGCTAGCTGGTATCGAGCATTATCGACAAGCCAATAGACATTTCACCGCGAGTTGTAACGTTCATGGCGGGTTTGAGTGATGGTC